AAAAAAAAAAAAAAAAAAAAAAAGAAAAAGTAGGTTTGTTCTTCTTTTGTTTAAAACAAACAACTGATCCTAGGCAAACACTTTAGAATACCTCCCCACTGCTGGACTGCCAACCACTTGGAATGTAAACAACCATACTGTCATCTACTCACCCTTCAAACCTTGTCTCAAATGTGATACTCACTACCTTCACCAATAAAAAACAGATTTTTCTCAACAACAGGGATGCAGGATTCGGTGCTTCTCTTACCAGGTGCTTACCTTTTCTGTGGTTTCATAATCCATTTTGAACGCCCAGAGGTGGAGCCGAGCGGACAGCTCACTGACGGAGGAGAGTGTGAGGAGGAACTGCTCTGCGCTGCCCAGGGGCACCTCAGGGTTGGCCAGCTGAGCCTCCTGGATCTTCTGCTTCTCCTCTTCAGTGGGAATCATGGTTAGAATTTTCTGGAAAAATGGGATAACACAGTCTATTTTCTCTTAGTGATGAATTCTACCCCATCCTTTCCATGTTTTCCAATTCAAATTGGAATTTTCCAAGCAGGTAGTTCAGAGATTCTGGGTTTCTTTTGGATATTATATTAGTACAAACAAAACATGCTTTAGAGAAGGAAAGCCCACGGTAACATCCAAACTTCATTCTTTTGGTCAAAAATTCTCTTTTCTTTCTCTTTTTTAACCTTCTGTTTCATAAAGAACATAAGTACTTGCCCAAGGTTTTCTGGGTCTTGTACATGAAAGACAGTCTAGGCAAGAAAGGGCAATGGTATGTGGAAGAAATGACAAAGAATGAGAAAGAAGATTAGAGAACATGGAGAAGGAAATAAACAATGTCAAGAATATATGTCTCTAGCACTTTTCATGGATTCATGTAAGACTTACAGAAATGTGTCCTTTTCAAAGAACTCAGGTTAACTTTCATGCAAGAGATACGTGACAATTTTAATTGTTTTAACAATATTCCAAAATTTATAGAAATGACAACACTTTAAATGCTATCAGACTCAA